CTTGCAGGGGCGGTGCACCTGTCAAAAGTGATTTTGATGCATGCTAGGTTGTATTACCACTTACTTTTGCCCTAGATGTAAGGGAGGGAAAATAAAGGTTAGAAAACTATAACCCTCATTGGAATATTATCATTCAAATTTTCTTAATTTCTCATTTTCTAGTATTTGCTAAGAAATAGTTTAGTGTTTTTCTGGATTTTTAGGAAATTTAAAATTAGGACAATACTTGCACATGGCAATAGTGAAGCCAGAAAAGCAGCCTGTTCAATAATAGGTAAGACAGAAGTCCTATCATTGTTGACAGGTCATGGAGGGTACAATCCAATTCATTAATAACTCCATTTATAAAGAAAGCCAATTTCTAAATTTAATTGTTGTTGTTACATGCCATCAAGTCACCTCTAATTTATGGTGATCCTGTGTATGAGATATCTCCAAAATGTCCCATTCTCAACAGCCCAACTTAGCTTTTGCAAACTCAAGTGTGTACTCACTTTTGTTGCCAGCAGTTTAGACATTAATGGCTGTGTGTTGCGTTATTTTGAGGGGACAGCACATTTACACTGTTCTACAAGTTGTTTACTCACTGCTTCACATCGTAGCCAAGTGTCATTTCTTCAGTGTTGTCACATGAAAAAATATACTAAAATATTTATGAAATGTGAGGGGGTGATATATTGTATCACTTGTGGCATATGGTGTCTACATAATAAATTAACCTCCGTGTTGTACGTTTATGTGTTCTCTAGTGACTGTTACTACTCTATATGTAGTAGAAATCAATAGGGATGCTAACTAGCTATTGACAACTGAAAAAAGATAATTAGTATAGAAGTCTAAATAATTTGCTTTTTATTATGTCTGGGCATTTGAAGATGCTTCAACATTTCACTTAGAGAACAAAAAAACCTGTTCACCCAGACCAGGGGTCTCCAAACCCCGGTCCGCAGCCCAGTGCCAGTCCATGGGCTTCCTGGAACTGGGACACGGAGATGGATCTCCGCCCCCACGCCCGCATGCAGGGTGGGCGTATTGCACTCATGGAGGGGCATGACCCCCCTGCACAGAGCCCACCCCCCCAAATGGTCTGCGGTCCCAAAAAGGTTGGGGACTGCTGACGTAGACCAGTGGTTCCCAACCTTGGCTCCCCAAAATGTTCACCACTAGCTATACTGTCCAGGATTTCTGGAGTTGTAGTCCAAAAACTTCTTGGAATCCCAGCCCTATGTCACTTTCAGATTTGTCAGCAAACGAAGAGTTATGGTATCCAAAGAAGGTGATTTGTACATTCAGTGCTTTTATTTAAGAAATAAATAAATAAGGCAATGTTTCTGTATTATAAAGATTGTATTATAAAGAGTTTTGTTAACCTTGAAAACAGACTTTGTTAACTTTTGTTAACTTTGAAAAATAAGTTTAACTTTTAAAAACAGATGGATTAATTCAAAAAGCCACCCTCTTGTGATCATTTTTTTAAAATGGAGGATAGGAAAGACTGATGCTGCTATGACTGTCTTCAAAATATAGCAAAACTGGTCCTCAAAATCCTCAAAGGAATTGAGGTAGAGCCCCATGGCATAGTGTGGGTTGCCAGCACCTGGGGCAAGGCAAGTATTGCAGGGTGCAGGTCACGTGCCAGCTCTGTGATGCAACGTATGGGTGGGATGAGGTGTGAGAAGCCCCTGGGATGGTACCATAAAGTGGCTACATAGCCAATTGAGGTCCACCCTGGTGGCAGTGGCAGGCCCAGCACCCCTGGTGGCTTGGACTCAGACTTCCAGAAGGGGAAAGAGGAGCATGAGAAGTGCTGCAGGAGCGTGCCTGACACGGGTTCTCCCCCCCCTCCATAAAACAATCCAAAGGAGGCATGCTGTTACAGGCAGATTGCCTAGCGGCTGCAACAAAACTAATTCCCAAAAATCAAGGGGAAGAGACGAAAAAGAAAGGTTCCAAAATGGCAAAGTGAGAAGCAGGCAGTATAATCGAAGATGGAACACCCTAGGAGTTCACACAGCCACAGGGAACAATTAAAGCAAAGAAAAGGCACTTCTTACTGAGTTCCAACCAATCCAGGCTCTTTTACACATTGCAGAATCCACCTTCTTCCTCTTGATTGGCTGCTGACAGGAGCCCCTCTAATGCTATGAAACATTTCCAAGGTAATTTGACAGAAAAAGGATATAATTAGGGTTAAACAAAAGCAAGGTGAAAAATATGAAACATTAATGTAACCCCCCTTTTATTACTATGAATCATTAATGTTAAAGATCTTATTTTTCTTTCACTTAAATATGAAAGGTCATTCCCTATTGCCAATTTCTGTGTTAACCTCAAGTATTGAAGGTCAGTAATCAATATCTACGAACAAGGATAAGTTGGTGAGCATCAAAGAAGTTTTGAGAAAGTGTATGAAATCTTCAAGGCTCATGAGAAGGAAATAGTTTATTGGTTAAAAAAAGACACAAAAGGAAATCAAGTATATCTAGGCTTTGGGTTCTATTCAAGTCTTGCTGTCCACCAGTGGAAGAGGCACCACTGGCAAAACAGATTTTCTTCCCCTCCCCACCCGTGCACTCTCAGAACACTCCAACCTCCTGGACTGGGGAGTGTATGGGAGCCCAGTAGCCTGAGCAAAAACCTACCTGCACAGTGTTGTACATTGCTCTTTCCTGATTTAAAGAGCAACCAGAAACAGGAATTTTCACTTGAATAATGTTTGGTTCTTGTGCCACCCACAAATAAAGTATTTCTGCCATACATCAAAGCGGTCACGGATGTCATGGGGAAACTTTTGAAAAAAACACAACCTACAAACAGTATTCAAGCCCACCACAAAAATACAACAAATGTTACGGTCAGCAAAGAACAGGAGTATACCGGATACCTTGCAGTTGTGGCCAGGTATATATTGGAACCACAAAACGAAGCATCCACACCAGAATCAAAGAACATGAGAGACATTGCAGACTAAAACAACCAGAAAAATCTGCAGTAGCTGAACATGCTCTAAAACAAACTGGACATGAAATTCTATTTCAAAATACTGAAATACTGGACAACACCAGCAATCATTACGTCAGACTGCACAAGGAAGCCATTGAAATCCACAAGCACCAGCAGAACTTCAACAAAAAAGAGGAAAGTTTGAAACTCAACAAAACTTGGCTCCCAGCTCTCAAAAATACAGCGTGCAAAAGGTCAACGAACTCTACCCAGCCAGAAGGACCGGGGATCAATACACACAAAAGACTAGCTAATGACACCCATCAACCACAGTGACAGATAATCTCTCCTTCTTATCACAACAATACACCCACAACAAGACACACTGATCACCCATCTACAGAAAAAGACAAAAGCCCATCTCACAGCCATAAATACTGCACTCCCAAGCCAACTACACCAGAGCACAGAGTGCTGTCCCCTGAAGATGCCGGCCACAGAGACTGGTGAAACATTAGGAAGAACAACCTTCAGAACACAGTCAAAGAGCCCGAAAAACCCACAACAACCATTAGATCCTGGCCATGAAAGCCTTCGCAAATACATTGAATAATGTTTATTTGATTTTGAAAAGCAAATTCTCCTTTTCTATTAACAGTTGAATATGTACTATTAAAATATTGTCTCATGAGACCTAGGTTATTCGTTAAGGTTTTTTTTTCCATTTTCAAAACCAATCTGCTACAGTATTTTGCTTCTGTGCTTATTAAACATCTTTCCCCCCTTTCCTAGACAGTATTATTTCTATTTATAGGTTAAAGGAACAGTACATTGAAGTGGAAAGAAGCTTAATGCAATAGCTCTGACCGTGTTATCTTTACATCTGTGCTGACAACGTTATGGAATTATATAGACCAGCTTCCTTCAACCCGTCTGCTTCCAGCTGATGGACTAGAACTGCCATCAGCCTCAATAGGCATAGTATATTGCCAGAGATTATAGCGATTGTACTCTGAGAGCCTTTAAGGCAGAACTGGTGTCTTACGATACAAACGCCACAACGACACCTCTCTCTCCTAGTGAACGAGGCCACTTGATTCCTTCCCAAGGGATTTGGGGTCATCCGGGTTGCCTGCTTGATATGGAGAGGAGGCGACAGGGGTACTTATTTTTTTCCGGAAAGGAGCGTGTCAGAATCAGTCTTACCGCTTCTGTAGTGAGAAGAAAAGATACGTGTTTCGCTACTTCCTGAAAGGCACTGCTTTTTAAATTCTTTAGCCAATTAAAGCAGCACGGTTGGGCGGGGGGGGACTTATCTGTTTAATCAGAAGGCAGAAGGTGACAGAGGATTATTTGGCAGCAGGTGTGATACTTTAACCCAAGGAAGGTGGGAATGGTTACTAGACGCCATGTGGTTTTAGGGTCCCTGGAAGACGAGGAAATAACCTGGGCAGGTCGGGGAGGGCAGAAAGAGAATCGCTGAGAGGACCAGGAGAGAAACGGCATGCGGGACCCAGGCGCCCCGGCTGAGGGAGGGTGTGTGTCCCTCCTAGCCTATGAAGCGCGTGGGCGCCGCGCCAGGCGCGCCTTCCCTCCCTCCCGTTTTGCTTTTGCTTTTTGCGTCGGACCAGGAACGTCGCGAGGCCGGGCCGCCCACCGCGGCTCTTGGC